CTAATAGCCTACTGTTGACTAGAAGCCTTACTGATAACATAAACCGTTAGCACGTATTTTGTATATTATATGTACTACATACTATATTCTTAAAGTATGCTAGAGGGGCGCCTGGGTGGCTCAGTCTGTTAAGCGTCTGACTCTTGATTTCAGCCCAGGTCATAATCTCATGGTTCGTGAGTTCAAGCCCTGCATCTGGGAGCCTGCTTGGGATTCTTTCTCTCCCTCTCTCTCTGCCCCTCCCCTGTTCACCCTTGCTTGCACGCGCTGTCTCTCGCTAAGATTAAAGAGGCTAAAGAAAATGTTATTAAGGAAATCATAAAAAAATACATTTACAGTACTGTGCTGTAAAAAGTCCATGTATAAATGGACCCGTGCTTTTCAAACCTTTGTTGTTCAAGGGTCTGTGGTAGGGTCCCATCCCTAAAGAAAGAAAAAAAATAACACCTCAAGACAACCTTGCTATTCTAGTACTTGACCACATCCCTCGGGACCTTGTAACATGAGACCACTTAATCAGACTACATGTTTTTGTGTTACCAAATATGGGAGACAAAGAAGTAAAAAATACATAAAAACTATGCCATGTGGTGTTCGGGACTCAGTTCTTTGGGTAGGAACCCAACTGAATGGTGCTGGCAGGAATAAAGTTGCTTCCTGGAAAGAAAAACCTCCGTGTCACGACTCCCTGTGCAAGAATCCTGCTACAGGTCAACTGTATTAAAATCAGTAAAGTGGTTTAATAGACATCTTTCAGAAAATATTCCCCCCAGCTCGTTTTAAAAGTTTTTGCCAATTTAATATAAGTTGATTACAAATAATAAACCATCCTTTTTTTTTTAATTTTTTTTTTCAACGTTTATTTATTTTTGGGACAGAGAGAGACAGAGCATGAACGGGGGAGGGGCAGAGAGAGAGGGAGACACAGAACCGGAAACAGGCTCCAGGCTCTGAGCCATCAGCCCAGAGCCTGACGCGGGACTCGAACTCACGGACCGCGAGATCGTGACCTGGCTGAAGTTGGACGCTCAACCGACTGCGCCACCCAGGCGCCCCTAAACCATCCTGTTTTTATCGAGGAGTGTGTTGGACCCAAAAGAGCTTTCAAATTAAACACTCTTACCTTTTGGTTTTATAATCCTTCCTCAGATCAGTGTTTGGGGGCAGTATACATGAAAACAAGACTTTCTGATACCCAAATGTGTAGGTATAAAAAAGAACCAATCATCTTTTATAATTCAGTGGTGCCCCGCCTGTGTGAAGAATTGCAGGGGAAATGCCATAGAGTAAAACGAAACTCAGATCAAGTTTGCAGACAAGGCAGGGGCCAGGAGGAGGCTGCAGACCTCTGGCACATGAGGAGTCATCCAAACCCAACTCCAGGACAGCTTCTAGCAGCTGGTCCATAAGTCCATGGACCCAGGGTGACGTAGGCCCCCCTTAAAATGCCTGCCTGCGAAAGCTGCAGCCAAAACATGTTCCAGCCAAAACATGGTAATGAACAGATAGGTCTCTGAAAAACCCCCCTCCCCAGAGCATTTTTAGAAAGCTGGCAATTATAAATCCTTCCGCTGCCCTTTGAGATGTAAAACTACCACCCAGAGCTGTCTCTGAAATGTAAATATCCAGGAGAAAAAGGGCCTCACTTAGGCGGGCACTTTGCACTTGGCACCACCACCTCCCATCACAAGGAGAAGCGCCAACTCAAATCCAGTCACACAGACCGACCCCATCACGCCCTTGGTGGCTTTCCCGCACACCCAGCCTTTAAAGTCTCCAGACTCTTTTTCCAGGAAACGATTTCCGTTCACACCAGCCCCCACTGCAGTAGTATTAGTCTGCCCTGAGCTCTTCATTAGCTGGCTTTCTCTTTGACCTGGGACGGGCATCACCTGGGATATGTTAAACTGATACAAACTGTCCCTGCGCAGAGCTGACACAGGCCGGATTTGGCTAGACGGAGGGACCAGTTCACAAGCTGAACCACCTTTGGAGTTCAATTAAATATCAGAAGGAAAACTACCTCCTGTATTGAAGTAGAAGGGCGTGGCTACAAACCACAGCAAATTTAAGAACAGCCATAAAAGGTGGGAAACCCACAGAACTGATTTCTATACAGAAAGCTCCAATAGGACAGAATTGCACCAGAACCCAAAATGGTAATGGGACACTGGGAAGCCCTGTGCTCACCACTAGCTGGGAGTGAGGCCAGCTGTCCTCACAGCCCGCACTTTGGATGGAATTCTTTGCTGGCAAAGGAAAGCCAGCAAGATAATGGCATCTTTTGTCAACGGCAGTGTTTTGACATACACAATTAGATAATGAGGGAGCAAAGGGTGGGCTAAGGACAAAGTGCAGGCTAGCACACTGCCCCGTCCCCCCTGCCAGGTGGGATGTGTGTGATAACTCCTCAGGCACTTCTGGCTGCCCCAGGACAAAGGAGAGGAAAGAAAACAAATGGCCAACTGATAGGGATCACAGTCTTACTGGACATGAGTCCCAGTTTACAAATATCTTGCTTGGTAAATTACAAGATTTAAAAGGCAATTTTATCAACAGCCACCTCCAGAAACCTATCGACTCAGTTTCCTGGAGCCTCAACATCACCCCTCCATAGTGATGTGGGGAACAAAGGCAAGAAGGAAATGACAGGTAAAATTAAATTTCATCATAACCTGCAGCCCATTGACAAATAACTGAGGCAAATACAGAGTTTACCATTTCTCCAGGAACCCCCCCTCAGTCATAATGTTAATGCCTTACCAGAGGGAAAACAACCTTAGCTTGACAAGAGCAAGGCGTCAGGTATCTTAGGAGTCATGCTGTGACTTCCCTCACAGTGAAGAGAGCTGGCTGAGCCCCTGGAGGTGTGCAGGAGCCAGCCCACCTCAGGCCTTCCGTGAGGTTAAGTTTTCCTTGCAAGCAGGCTGAATCAGGACTACCTGGTCCTTCCGGTTCCATACACCCTGAAATACTCCCCCATTCGAGAAATGCTTCTGGATAACTCATCTGGAGAGGCCCAACTAGCTCTGCCTGCTGCGATTTGGGATGATGACACACCGTGACCATGTGCGGTGGCTCACTGCAAGAGAAGGGGAGCGGCAGCTTTCCTCAGTACCTGTCCCTGTACGCATTAGCTCCATGCACATTTTCATGGGGCACACCACACACACTCATTTTATCAGCATTTAAAATACTGTCAAAAAAACCACCACCATTGCTTTGTTTTAATAAATGTTTATTTAGCGCCTAAGTACGAGGCACTGTGTTTGCACCAGGAGGAATACGCAGATGAACAAGGCATAATTCTTGCCCTCAAGCTCACAGTCTAGTGCAGGAAATTAGACATGTACACAAGGAACCATCATACGAGGCAGAAAGTGATAAAATGCCATGGGATTGATCCCAGTAGAGTATTATGAGAGGAAGAAAATACTACTTTTGGATGAAAATACGAGATTAGAGAAGTTGCCTTAGAAGTAGGGGGTCTACAGGTCAGGTGTACACGGGAGCAAATTAAGGGGAAAAAATAAACCAGAAGACTCCAAAGTCAGAAGCGGGAGGTGCTAAGTGCTGAGGCGGGAGGAGGAAGGTGGGCCCGGCATGGGACAGGTGGCTGGAAGATGTGTCTGGAAGCCGTGTGGGCTCCCCTGAGGGTGGTTCTATACATAATGCCAGGCAAAGCTGTTGCAGAGGTGATCTTACTCAGGTTCTGCTTTATAAAGCTTAATTTAGAGGCAATGGATAGCGACTTTACAGAGGGAAGGGCTGAGGGAGGAGGCCCGTTTAAAAATAATTACAGGGGCAACTGGGTGGCTCAATTGGTTAAATGTCCAACTTCAGCTCAGGTCATGAGCTTGCGATTCATGGGTTTGAGCCCCACATGGGGCTCTGTGCTGACAGCTCAGAGCCTGGAGCCTGCTTCGGATTCTGTGTCTCCCTCTCTCTCTGCCCCTCCCCCGCTCACATGCTGTCTCTCCCTTTCTCAAAATAGATAAAAAGAGGTTTAAAAACAAATGATTACAAGAGCCCGGATTGAAGTAACAAGGCAGCCACAGTGAGAATGCAGGCTTTTCAGATGGAAGATGGGATGGAAGTGACAAGAGAGGGGAATGGCTAAATATGGAAAACAGGGGGACAGAGGAGGTAAAGGGGGGTGAAATGTGACGGAGTTTCACACCTAGAGACAAACAGGCCCATCCACGAGCTAGGAAAATCCAGATGAAAAGTCTGAATGTGGGAAGAGAGGCGGGAAGAAGGGAGGATGGGTGCTGGCGGGCGTCCAGGCGGAGGGTCCAGCGGGCCGTTACAGTGGAGTTGAGGGTCCGGGGTAGAGGTCCAAGCTGGAACACCAGCCAGACAGCCGTCTGTCAGTGGCAACAGCCACAGCCCCATGGAGGTGGCCCCGGGTCACCACGCGAAGTACAACCTGTTCCACCTTTCCTTCTATACGGAACTCTCCCAGAAAAGTCAGAAGCATGATGATGCATCATATGAAACATGCTGTTTCCCTTTGCGTGCTCTCCTGTCTTCACTCCTGAGAAACCATGTCTTCGGTGTTAGGATTCCAAGCGGGAAAGTTGCTTGCCTCCACTGTGGAGGGTCATTCTGAAAAGATTTACTCCAATGAGAGTTTTTTAACCTTTTCATTATCACTTATTTTGAAGTTTTCTGTAATAAAATTATTTTCCTAAGGATTTCAGAAAAACGATCGATGTATCATCCTGCCTCACTGAGCCTAAGAGCTGGAAGGGACCAGAGAGGTCATCACTTTCTCCCTCATTTCACAAATGAGGAAACCGAGGCCCTGAGAGGCCACAAGACTTGCTGGCATCTCACATGGCAAGGATGGTGGAACTGGCACCACAAGCAAGACAGTGTGTTTTCTCTCTGCCACGACTGTACCCTGGGTGCCAGCTACCATCTGACACACAGAAAGACAGATAGATGGGTAGACAGACAAACAAACAGGTACGTAAGTAGGGAACTAGGAGCAAGAGTGACTGGGAATAACACACTTATATTTTAACTTCTTTTTCAAGTGGGGAACAGGAGAGAATGGCTTCTGATAGAAAGGCATTTTTTGGACCCAGCAATGCCTTGCAGATCTGAAAAGGAAATTACTCTCTCTTGAAATATTAAAGTGCACTTAACCAGAAAATATTAGGCTACATTACTACACCTCATATTCGATAAGCCTCACAGTCAGCGGCAACAGAAATGATGGTATTCTTGGTTGGCACGTGTGCATGTGGAAAGGCCGTTTGCAGGAAAACAAGGTCAATACAAATTAGACTTTACGTTGTTTTATCCGTCACAGACGCAAAATGCCCACGGTAATTCCCTGTTGGAAAGTTATATGAGAAATCCTCAGAATGAGGTTCTAAATACATTTACATAGAAGATGGAGAAAAAAAGACAACTCCATTGCAAATACAGAAGTCCCAAATATCCAGGCAGGGTTCTGATGAACAGCTGTGTCACAGTAAACCAGCCAGAGTACATCGGGTTCTTCCCCATCATCTGGAAACACACGTCCTATCGATTTTTAATTAATGGTTCCCTCTAATAAAGGCTGCTTCAACACATCCCCCAGGCCCACTAGAGTCTGCCAGCAACACATCTGGGTGGGAGCTGTCAGATTTTCCAAAAAACCTTCTTTTTATAGAGAATGTAGGCAATGAGCACCCAAAGTGCAGAGGCGACTATGTTCTGAGTTAGATGCTCTTTGTGTGACTGGTTGTCCCCCAGCTTCCACTGGAAGGGGAAGTAGTTCTCAAACACCTCGTGGCCAACGTACACCAGAATAGAATTCATTCCTGGAGGAGAGATGCACAAGGTAAGGCTTTCCTGAGCCACATCTGATCATCTACTTAATTCTGGAAATTTGACTTGGGTTCAGTGAAAAAAAACAAAAAGCTTGCACCTACATTATTGGCTACTGCCAAAAATACATGATGTGTATCTTAGATACTATTACATGTAAGCTCGATCAAAAACAGAAAATATTTATGACAGTGTAATCTGTGAATACCAAATCTGCCAGGAGAGCCAAAATTATGAACTTCTATTTTCTAGGGTTAGAAAAATGTAACTATTACAAGAATCAAAGGACTAAAGCGAGTCTTCAAGTAGAACTGCATGGAACCCATTCTGTTTATCTCTTGATATTTCTTATGCGTAATCTGTAAGGTAGTATATTTACACTCAGAAGGCAAGCATGGCCCCATTGCTGAAGCGTCAGAAGCTGGCTAATATGCCCTGGATGGTTTCTGATGCTCCGTAACTCGGCATTTCCTGAAGAAACAAGTGGAGCTTGGTTATGACCCCACAATCTAAACAGATAAAATGGGTGGACGGCATCAGAACAGGCCAAGGACGTCCTGCACATGGCCTGGGACAGTGTGGCCCGGCTGCTTTCTCCCTCAGCCTGCATCTTGGAAATCTGCCACTGAGGCCGGGGGCCCAGGGACGTAGCACTGGGCGTGCTCAGCGTCTCTGGGCTGACCCACTTGGTCGCCATCATCGACTCTGGGTGACTTACCTGGGTAGAAGAACGGGGTCCCTGTCCACAGTCCCTTCACGTCCACAATAGGGTACAGGATAAGCAGGATGAAGAAGGCAAAGGAGCTCAGTGTGGTGACATAGGAAATGGACCTACGAGGTGAACGGGGTGTTTCAGGCTCCCGAGGAACGCATCCAGTATCAGCAGGACCAACCCACATGAAAATGACATGGTTTTCTGTACCTACCACAGATTTTTGTTTATTGGAATAAAGCCTTCATTTTCAGAAATTTTCGTCAAAGCAATAGAAATAAGCCCCTGAAATGGGGGGGTGGGGGGGGGGAAGGGAGAACGTTAGTTTTTTATATTATCTCAAAAAAACCACTGTGTTTCAAAACTGGAAAATACATTAATTGCTTAAGGAGGGCTGAAAATTGTGTTTTATATTTTATTCTTTTAACTGGAAAAATATTTTCAAGATGCATAGCTAAAGATATTCTCAAAAAAATATTCTTAAAAACATCTCCAAAGCATTCTTCTGAGTTGAAGGTAAAGTAATTGATAAATTAGAGAGGAAACATGAGGGATAAAACAAACAGCCAAACTTTCAACTCTGCCACCTGGAGATCTGGAAGCGGACCTTTGGAAATGTGCTGTCTGCCTGGTCTTTCTGGTCTGGCTCCCCACCAGAACCCACACCACTTCCTCAGGCACTCCTGGCCAGCTGGTTGACAGCAAACACTCTTATTTATAAAGACATTTGGCTAAGAAAACTAACCTGAGAGTTTAGGTATAAAGATTTGTTTCTCTCCATTACTCCAGTGAAGAACGCAGCTACTGTGATGTGATAGCTGCTATCCGCTGCTGCTAAACATTTTATTTCTTTGAAATATACGTGTAGAAGGAATTTCAGTGAGGAACATAGGTTACTTACTAGAAAACAACACCAGGCAGTGAATCTGATCAGTATGTCTTTGGTCTGGTCCTTGTAATACAAGAGTATTTTTCCTGCCTGGAGAGGAAAACGCAGATGACCAAGAGACCTGCTTAAGGTGTATTTGTATTTCATGTTCATCCAGTGTCCTAATCACTCGTCTGCCAAGCACGCTGCTAGATGCTGGGATGGAACGTCACCCCTGCCCTAGACAGCTAGACACCAAGGCACGGGGGACAACTCGGGAGGGGAGGAAACGCCAGAGAGGAAGTGCCATCGGGTTGAGGCTACGACTGCAGAGCAGGAAGGGCATCTGGGCAGAATGGAACAGCATGCACAGAAGCATGTCAAATGGCTGAAAGAGCATGTGTCCCTGAGTTGCAGGTAATTGTCAAAGGCTAGAGGGTTGGGATGGGCAGGAAGATGGTAGGCAGGTGGGCTTGTGGGTCTCTCTGTGAGGCACAGGCTTTCTCCCATCGGTGAGAGGGAGCTGAGGAAAGTCACTCCCCTACCCCCCCTACCCCCCCCAAAAAAAACTAGTAACAAGGGACGAGCTCTGACGGCCTGCCAGATGGCCCATTCAGGCAGCAGTACAGAAGGGGACAGGGTGGAACTAGAGGCAGAGAAACACTTTAGAAACAGTGCAATCTGGACTTTGCATAAAAACTCCCTGAAATTAGGAAATGACTTCTGAAAGCATAAAAGGATAAGAAAATATTCAGAATTTGTAATTAAGCTAAAATTTATGAATGTTTTCTATATGCCCATTCTTAGAATTGTACATAAATTAGCTTATTTAATCCTCTCAACACCGTCATGAGGTAGATGCTGCTGCAGCACAGACGGATGGACGTGCTGAAGGCTACCCAGCTGGAAAGTGGTAGAATGTGGTTCAGACCCAGGCGGTGTGGACCCAGGTCTGCGCTCTGAACCCTATCCTAGGCTGCTCCCACAGGCACAGACTTACCTCAAGAGCAAACACGGGGATTAAATGAACGTATGTAAAAGTACCCACTGTGAACCATAAAGTACAACAGAGATAAGTATAAAGCAGTATTTCTAAATATGAAATCACCAAAATGTATATGCTTTAGACCTGCACCATCCAATATGGGAGCCACTAGCCTCATGAGCCTATTTGAAATTAAATTTAAATTAATTAAAATTAAATGAAATTTAGGGGCGCCTAGGTGGCTCAGTCGGTTGAGCATCGTACTCTTGATTTCGGCTCATCAGGTCATGATCTCGCAGTTCGTGGAATCAAGCCCCACATCAGGCTCTGTGCTGGCAACACGGAGACTGCTTGGGATTCTCTCTCTCCCTCCCTCTCTCTGTTCCTCCCCCACTCATGTGTGCTCACTCCGTTCCTCTCTCTCTCTCAAAATAAATAAACATTTAAAAAAAGAATAAAACATGGGATGTCTGGGTGGCTCAGTCAGTTAAGCATCCAACTCTTGATTTTGGCTCAGGTCACAATCTCACTCATGGTTCATGAGTTTGAGCCCCGCATCAGGCTCCATGCTGACAGCTAACAGCACAGAGCCTGCTGGGATTCTCCCTCTCTCCCTGTCTCTCTGCCCCTCCCCTGCTCATGCTTTCTCTCTCTCTCTGTCAAAGTAAGTAAACATTTTAAAAATTTAATAATAAAACTTAATTTAATATAATTAAAAATTCAGTTCTTCAGTCATGCTCGTATACCACATTTCAAGTTAAAAGCCATATGGACATAAAAAACATTTTCATTGTCACGGAACATTCCATTAGTGCTGCTTTACAGGCTTCTTCCTCTTCCAGTTAGTTCTGCTCAAACAATAGTTTCAAACATCAATAAGGAGAACATTAGGGGATAAAAGTCTAGGCTGTTCAGAATTTTAACAAAATTGCACATAAGATACACCAAGAACCACCTATATTGACTCTGGCATAAAATATGCATAACTTGAAACCATACAAAGGGTATATGAAAGAAATGTGCCAAGTGACACTGAGGCTTCCCAACATCACCAGTACACTCCAGCAGGGAAACCTTTTTGCCCACAAACTGCTGTGCTTCTATTGCTAAGATAAGCCACATAAATAATGAGAATCTGGGGAAGCATATAGGAATTATATGGAATTATTTCAATGTGCTAAATTTTAGCAAATTCTAGTTTTGACCATTTGTCACATATAAACAGAATGTATTATACCACAGAAGATATGCTTCCAGTTACTTAATGAAATAGTTTTTGAATTAGTGATGAATCAATAATCATAAGCTATATAAAATAAACAAATACCTGAACTCCTAAAAATGCCATCACAATGGAGTTGATGGTCCCTAAGATTCCCTCTGGATCGTAGGCCACCTCGGTGTGATAAAGCACCTTCACAAAGCAGAAAAAGAAGGCAGAACCCACTGACCATGAAACGCACACAAACAACTCAGAGACTAAATACAAACTTGAGTACACTCCAGAATTCAATGTTTTTTGTTTTTGCTGCAGAAATTCACTGCCAATTTGTGGGGATTACAGGCAGAATACTTCTGGGTGACAAAGTGTGGGGTGTGTGACACCAGAAGGAACACAGAGCCCAGGGACAAGCCGTGGTCCAGAGCAGCCACTTCAACCTCAAGTGCCCTGGGACACAATGCTTCCCCGCCCAGTTCCAAAACTGTGCATAATACCTTCATAACTGTTAGGCTTATTCAACCTGGTCAACCCTACTGTAACATCAAAAAGATGTTCTTTCCTAACTTCTCTTATGGCAAATTAACATTTAAAAACATACCTGTACTAGGGCACCTGGGTGGCTCATTCAGTTAAGCATCTGACTCTTGATTTTGGCTCAGGTCGTGATCTCATGGTTTGTGAGTTCAAGCCCTGTGTCAGGCTCTGTGCTGACAGTGCGGAACCTGCTTGGGATTCTCTCTCTCCCTCTCTCTGCCCCTCCCCTGCTCATGTTCTCTCTCTCTCTCTCTCTCTCTCTCTTTCTCAAAATGAATATTTAAATATGTGTGTGTGTATGTATTATTTTATTATAAAACAAATGTTATTATGGAAATTGCAGAAATTTGGAAATATACAGTGTAGTGGATGCCACAGTGCATCACATAGATATCCTCCTGCCCCACTTCTCTCAGGACTAAAGCATTTGTTTCCTGAGCTGGTAGAAATATTAATGGCCAGAAAGCTCTCATCCAAGTCCCTTTTCTGGATCTGTCCCTGACTGAAGAGAGCTGCCTCTCCAGGAGCCACACTCCCTTGCTGGGGGTAGTCTGTATCCAACCAGGGTTAACAAGGGCCCGATCTCTCACTCCAGAACAACTGTAAAGCACCAGCACAGCCCCCCCAGGAGATTAACTAAGGCGGTATGACTATGAGGCAGTCCAACTGCCCCTTCTGCGAGTTCCTGATCCCTTTGATCCCTAGCAGGTGTCAATCCCAAAAGTACGGCCTGATAGCTCCCTGCATACGAATCTCAGACTCAGACTCGGCTGCCAGGAAGCCCAACTGAGCTACAGGAAAAAGCACCTGCCGCATGCTTGACACAGTGCATTCACACTTTCCAATCCAAATTAATGAATACACACATTTAATGAACATTAAATTTCCAAAATCAGCAAACTGTTCAACTAAAAATTAGTTCCCATCACAGTCTGCTAAACGGACAGTTTCCAGTTGACCAGCCCCTTCCGTTTTCTCTCACTTCAAACCCCCCAAATGTCTAGTTCTAAGTGCAAGCTAGGCTCACTCACGGCTGAAGAAGGATGCTGGTAAATGTGGTCATCGCCCAGAAGCAAGCGGTCAATGTAGCCAGCAGCTCCTCCAGTACAATTTGGATACTTCCCCAAATCTCCAATGCCACCAGGTCCAAGATAACCACTGGGAAAGAGAACATGTACTTCACTGACAAGACTTCAGAGGGGCTCAGGGTATATACTGGCAATTGTTGCAGCCCAACAAGTGGCTTCACACAATGCAACCCCTCGGAGCCATGTTACCCTACAGCAATGCTTTTTGGACTTGACTGCTCCCTGCGTGCTAAGGTGGGAGGCCAGCATGCGTTCAAACTGACCCTGAAAAAGCCTCATGGAGACATTCCTCTGGACATCCACCCAACTCCTCTCCCAATACGCACTATGCCTCAAAGAAGAAAGAGTAAAAGAGAATTCCTCTTGGGAAATTTGCAAGCTATCACCCCAGAAGCTCTAACCTGGCAGAAAATGACATGCAAAAAGGGATTACGTACATGGGCTCACTTACGTAGGACATCCAGGAACAGGCAAGAAGAATGTCAAGCCCAGCCAAATGCTTTCCAGCATCAGAATGAAGAGCCACTGGGGCCAGCTGAAGATGATGTCTCGAAGGGAAAAGCAGCTTCTCTCCTGAGTGAGGGGCATAAAAACACATATATGAACTACATGCAAGTAGAATAGGAAAAAAAAGATGCATATATGTATTGGGGAAATTCTGTGTGATTCCTCTCTGGCCTTGATGGTAGTAATATAAAACTAGATGCACGTTTATTTCATATGTATCATATGGTCTAGCTGCCCCTCTCCATGAAATATCATAATAAAACATTAGTTAAAAAGACAGCACTGGGTAATTCCACTCCTATACCCAAGAAAATTGAGAACAGATGTTCACACAAAAACTTATACACAAATACACATGGAATCTTTATTCATACTAGGCAAAGAATGGGAATAAGTCATATGCCCATCAATTGATGAATGTATCCAAAAGGTGGGACATTCATAAAACGGAGTATTATTCAGCAGTAAAAACAAATGAAGAACTAAAACATGGCACAACATGGATAAACCTTGAAAAATATGCTAAGTGAAAGCCACCAAACAAAAAAGGCACATAGTATAAAATTCCACTTATATGAAATGTCGGTAACAGGTAAATCTACAGAAACAGAAAATAGATGAGGAGTTGCCTAGGGCTGGGGGAGTTGTGGAGAAACGGCAAGTGGCTGGTAGTGAGTACAGGGTTTCTTGTGGAATAACGAAAATGTTCTAGAACTGGATAGGGGGGATGACTGCACAACTCTGTGAATATACTACATGTCACTGAATTGCACATTTCAAACCTGTGACTTTTACAGTATGTGAAACATATCTCAATAAAGGTGTCATTAAAAAAGCAATTAAATGGCACAAAAACAGACACATAGACCAATGGAATAGAATAGAAACCCCAGAACTAGACCCACAAACGTATGGCCAACTCATCTTTGACAAAGCAGGAAAGAACATCCAATGGAAAAAAGACAGTCTCTTTAACAAATGGTGCTGGGAGAACTGGACAGCAACATGCAGAAGGTTGAAACTAGACCACTTTCTCACACCATTCACAAAAATAAACTCAAAATGGATAAAGGACCTGAATGTGAGACAGGAAACCATCAAAACCCTAGAGGAGAAAGCAGGAAAAGACCTCTCTGACCTCAGCCGTAGCAATCTCTTACTCGACACATCCCCAAAGGCAAGGGAATTAAAAGCAAAAGTGAATTACTGGGACCTTATGAAGATAAAAAGCTTCTGCACAGCAAAGGAAACAACCAACAAAACTAAAAGGCAACCAACAGAATGGGAAAAGATATTTGCAAATGACATATCGGACAAAGGGCTAGTAGCCAAAATCTATAAAGAGCTCACCAAACTCCACACCCGAAAAGCAAATAACCCAGTGAAGAAATGGGCAGAAAACATGAATAGACACTTCTCTAAAGAAGACATCCGGATGGCCAACAGGCACATGAAAAGATGTTCAGCGTCGCTCCTTATCAGGGAAATACAAATCAAACCCACACTCAGATATCACCTCACGCCAGTCAGAGTGGCCAAAATGAACAAATCAGGAGACTATAGATGCTGGAGAGGATGTGGAGAAATGGGAACCCTCTTGCACTGTTGGTGGGAATGCAAATTGGTGCAGCCGCTCTGGAAAGCAGTGTGGAGGTTCCTCAGAAAATTAAAAATAGACCTACCCTATGACCCAGCAATAGCACTGCTAGGAATTTATCCAAGGGACACAGGAGTACTGATGCATAGGGGCACTTGTACCCCAATGTTCATAGCAGCACTCTCAACAATAGCCAAATTATGGAAAGAGCCTAAATGTCCATCAACGGATGAATGGATAAAGAAATTGTGGTTTATATACACTATGGAATACTACGTGGCAATGAGAAAAAATGAAATATGGCCTTTTGTAGCAACGTGGATGGAACTGGAGAGTGTGATGCTAAGTGAAATAAGCCATACAGAGAAAGACAGATACCATATGGTTTCACTCTTATGTGGATCCTGAGAAACTGAACAGGAACCCATGGGGGAGGGGAAGGAAAAAAAAAAAGAGGTTAAATGGGGAGGAGCCAAAGCATAAGAGACTCTTAAAAACTGAGAGCAAACTGAGGGTTGATGGGGGGTGGGAGGGAGGGGAGGGTGGGTGATGGGTATTGAGGAGGGCACCTTTTGGGATGAGCACTGGGTGTTGTATGGAAACCAATTTGACAATAAATTTCATATATAAATAAAAAAAATAAATAAAAAAAATAAATAAAAATAAAAGTTGAAATAAAAAAATAAAAATAAAATAATTTAAAAAAAATAAAAAATAAAAAAGCAATTAAAAATACATTTTTAAAAAGGAAAATGAAATTTAAACTTTTGAAGCTGTCCTGGTTGAAAGAAGGAATATAGCCGACCTATCCTTTTTTTTTTTTAAGTTTATTTATTTTTGAGAGACAGCATGAGTGGGGGAGGGACAGAGAGATAGAGAAAGAGGGAGAGAGAATCCCACGAATCCCACGTGGGGCTCAAACCCACGAAACCCATGAGATCATGACCAGAGCCAAAACCAAGAGTTGGATGCCCAACCAACGGAGCCACCCAGGCACCCCTAGCCCACCTATTCTTGGTGTCACACCCCACCCCTTACTCTATCATGGTGGCTGTGGAGGAGCCTCCACAGACCTTAGGTCCCACACACGGCTAACCAAGCCCATGTTCATGTCTACTCTCGCTTCACCTCAAGAAAAGCCATAGCAGAGGGGACACATACAACAACAGAGTGGGCAGAACAGGTGAAGGAACAATGATCCAATCCCCTCCAAGGACATATAACTGAACAATCAATGCAGGGAAGGCCAAGTGAGTGTGGGGTTCAGTGATGAATATGCTAGTTACATATACAGAAAGGAGCTAGAAAGCAAAGACAACTTTATAAATTAAGTAGGATCCCAAGTGGAAGAACTTTAACACTTCTTCCTAAATTTTTACCTCTACCAGGGAAAAAAAAGCTCCACCTGGGTAAACTCACTGAGCAATTTATATTAAGACAGAAAGCAATCACAAGGGCGCCTGGGTGGCTCAGTTGGTTAAGCGTCCAACTTCAGCTCAGGTCATGATCTTGCAGTTCGAGGTTCGAGCCCCACATCGGGCTCTGTGCTGACAGCTCAGAGCTGGAGTCTGCTTTGGATTCTAGGTCTCCCTCTGTCTGCCCTTCCTCCACTCGCACTCTGTCTCTCTGCCTCTCTCTCAAAAATAAACATTAAAAAAAAAAAAAGAGGGGCGCCTGGGTGGCGCAGTCGGTTAAGCGTCCGACTTCAGCCAGGTCACGATCTCGCGGTCCGTGAGTTCGAGCCCCGCGTCAGGCTCTGGGCTGATGGCTCGGAGCCTGGAGCCTGTTTCCGATTCTGTGTCTCCCTCTCTCTCTGACCCTCCCCCGTTCATGCTCTGTCTCTCTCTGTCCCAAAAATAAATAAAAAACGTTGAAAAAAAAATTTTTTTAATAAAAAAAAAAAAAGAAAGAAAGCAATCATGAAAGAAATGAAACTCTCACATACCTCCTACAAATAAATACTAACTAGCCAAAGACAATACTGTCATTCTCCTCCACCCTACCTTGGCATTTTTCCTCCAAGTTGAATCTTCACAGCATGTATATAGACACTGAAATGTTTCATGAGTTTCTATATATCTTATACTGCAAGGAATTAAAAAATTGGCAGTAATGCCCCAAAAGACTAAACTAGCAAACTGGATGATGGTGATATTATTTAATGCCGTCAAAATGGATCTGATCACTGGACACTTAAAAATTTATTAGGAGGGGACATCTCATGTTATGTGTTTTTTCCCCATAATAAAGAAAAACGATTGATGTAAAGACTAAATAAAAATAACTAATTGAAGGAAAAAAATAATGCATTTGACTAACAGAGTCTACTGACTCTGAGTCTACTGACATACAGTACTGTGCTCAGCACTAAAGTAGGTTCTGAAAATCATACAGTGATTTCTGCACCCCCAGACCCACCATGTTTAAAAGTAGGTTTTCTCACCGAGGCACAGCTTTCAGGCACAGGTTTGGCAAAGATGAGCTCTAACACGGCAACCACAAAGTAGGTCACCCCCAGCCGCTGGAGCACACCAGGGATTCGCACCTTATCCCAAGACACTATAGAAGGCACAAGTTAAGTAAAGTGTTAGCCAGAATTCCTCTTCCTTCCCAAGACAACATTATTTTTTTCCTAAGGGGGAAAGCATACCTCTATTGTACTTAAGTACACTTTGAAGCTCTTGGAGATAGTAATACATATGGGATTCGGCTCAACCTCACAGCTGGAAGTGGCCGGCTGGGACATGGGGACAAGAATACGTGTCTTCCTTGGGTGTGGGACAAAGCAAGGACTACCTGGGCCCTGGGGTTCCTCCCCTGGCCCTTTGTCACACCAGGCATGGGTTCAACCAGCTCTCACATCCACCATCAACTTGCAGAGCCAGCACAGGCCACAAATAGATTCTCCCTGTCCTACAGGCTACGTGACTACTCACTGGAAGAGTGTGACCATGTGACCCCTACATGTGACCATGTAATGAGCAGTGGTTCACTTTTTGAAGATCCACTGAATCAACTATTATGTGACACCTTTCCTTATGACCCCAAATGGAAGTGACCTCTACCTCCTCCTAATGTGCTTCTGAGCTGAAGGGACCACATGACTCTTGTCCAGGTAACTATGTCCTGTTTTACTAATGACACTGAGTACAGCAACCTTGAGTACAGCCACCACCAATTTCCCTGACTCTGACGCTGGTCCCAGGCACAGGGTGTGTGTCCTTCCCTCAAGCTTCCCGTGTCACTCACACTGCTAAACAACAACAAAGATATTCCTTCCCAGCAACCCAGCAGGCATACAGGTGATAACCAAGGTGGATTGTTGAACTACCACACAACAGCCTTATTATGAAAGCTGATGAATCCAAAGAGGCAGGAGGGCGGCTCTACTCTGTCCCTGCACTTGGAAGATCCACAGAAAGCACTTTAATCTCTCTGGGACTCAGAGTCTTCCTTTGGACAGCAGAAGGATTTGAGTAGTCTTGGAAGCTCCTCCCAGGTCTGAAGTCCCAAGATAATAATAATAATACCCGATGCTATATAAGCATGCTTACACTTTTCTAATAACTGTTCTTTTTGCAGGAACCTGAGATGAAGGAATTATATTTCTTTTTAATTCTGATACATAGTTTTCCTATTTCAACCCAAATATATACAAAAACAGGGGAAAAATACTTACATGGACCAAGGCAGTAATTGGGGTTCACAATGAACATTCCTATACAGATTAACAAGAAACTCCTCCATCCAATTTTCCCCATCAATTTGAGTTTTGAACATCCTCGCTGCAATATGGAAGTCATTGACAGAAAAATCGAAGATCCCATAATAAATACAAACCTAAAAAAAAAGACAGCTATTAAAAGGTGGCCATTTCTAGGGTGGTTTTACTTTTTTATCTATATGTCATCACTATTTTATAATCTACTACATACAAGAAGCAACACCTGATTTTCTAAAGTGGCTAATTATTGAAGTAACATTGGAGGAGGAATCAGAAGGTAACCCTGTTGGACTATAAGGTTTGTGCACCGTCAAGTCCTATCCTAGAAGGAAAATTCTTCAGGGCTGAGTGCAGTTTCCAAGGACAAGACTCCCTTTTAGTTGTCAAAGAAAACAATGATGAAGAAGATGCTACAATCTGCAGAACCTGACATTCACTAGCACACCCTCAAAGTCCTTGAGAAACAATGCATTTCAATCATTTCTAAATTCACTCTTTTGCCTGGGAAAAAAAAAAAAAGGAAGTTTTATTTTTTTCTAATTTTGTCTGAGCCACCCACCTCTTTTCCTTCCTTTTTACTATACTAATCCTTTAAAAAAAAAAAAGCCAGAATAGCAGTCTTTCTAATTACTGGATGTGGGGTTAACAGAAGATGAGAGTTTGCTCTTTGGTTCCCCCAGCTTCCTTTCTTGGGGTCACCTAATTGGATAAAAGTGTCTAATAACAGGAACAGAAACCTATAGGGAACCTTGTAAAGAATATACATAAGTAATTACCCAGTCTTCAGACATATAAAACTTCCTCCTCCCCAAACCCATCTCAAAAAAGAACCCTCGCTCTCCTGCAAAAAACCCTGAACACATATTAGTGATGGAACCCAAGGGATCAAAGACCTAAACCAACAGCCAGTACTACCTCCTAAAGATGGAACAAAGTTGCTCCAAGAGTCACAAGCAAAGACACAAATTCCACATTGTACAGGAAGTCAAGGTCCCTTAACAAGGTGAACAAACCACAGATGATCAGTGATGGAGTGGGTCACTCACTCCAGGATTATTTTACATTTTAATTTATTACTATCATTACCCTGTTACATACCTTGTCAGAATTTCCTGATGCAAATACACTACATTTCTTTCAGGAACTGATTTTTATATTTATTTTCAGGATGAATGGGATTTAACTACATATTCAGAATTTATGATTTCCTACAAGATTCCAGGATCTCGAATACCATATCTACAGTAACAAAATGTTCCCTCTGAAATCACTCATCTTTTATAAGCAGGCCTTATGCAAGCCCTGTGCCAAGTATAGGAACTATCCAGTAACACAATTTACAGAAGGACCTCATGAGGGCAGACACCTGTGAGTAACATAGGCCTGTGGCCCAGAACTCAAGGCTGGTCTCAGAGAAAGGCTCCAGCATCTGCTGAAAAAACAAAAACCTGGATGACCTATGGAAGAGCTGGTGGGAGACTGCAACTCACCATGGGAATACAAGGTCGGCCACCGTCAGTCCTGGAGAATAACACAAGAACAAGAGTAAGGAAAAGTACTCTAGAATGTAAATACATCCTAAATCTAGATTGGCACCATTATATACTGATATATATGGAAAGTAAACTCACGCAAAGAGCTCACAGGAAAACACTGGGAAGTAACACGCACAGATACTCCCTGGAGACTCTGCAACCGGTCACTAGGCCTGAGACATTTCCTAAGAACATAACTGGGCATGGGACAGCCAAAGTAGCAGTGTGTAGACAAGTCTGTTATCTTCGAGCAGTGCTACTCAAAATCCATTCTTAAACCAACTACTGAGCAGATTCACAGCCATTACTAACCACCACTCAGGACCAACCTGAGTTCAATGGCACCCCTGAGGAGGACCATGAGTCGTAGAAGACAGAGCTCCCATGTGGCTGGAATAAAAGCATATCTGGGCGCTTGGGTGGCTCAGTCGGTTAAGTGTCCAACTTCGGCTCAGGTAATGATCTCATAGTTCATGAGTTCGAGCCCCACGTCAGGCTCTGTGCTGACAGCTCAGAGCCTGGAACCTGCTTTGGATTCTATGTCTCCCTCTCCCTCTGCCCCTCCCCTGCTTGTGCTCTCTCTCTCTCTCAAAAATAAATAAACATTAAAACAAATTTTTTTAAGGATATTTTTTTTAAAAAGACATATCTACAATATGACAAAAATCGTTTACAACTAAATTCTTAACAGCTTCTGCAGAGGCCCATGGTCCTGCAGCAGAGCTCAGACGTCTACATGTTACCACAGTGAACCACTGCAAGGCCACAGCACACAAAAACAAGAACAAAACAAAAAGGGTTAATGGAATCATCCAAAGATCATCCTATGGGGGCAGGAGCTCAGCACTCAAAGGAGGCTGGTGGGGCATCATCTCTGAGCTCCTGAGGGGATGCCGAGAGGTTCTCTTGCCCACGCTTCTTTGAGGGGTTCTACACAAGCAATGCTACCCTAAGGAAATATCTTACCATTCCAACTTGAGTGTTTGAAGTACCAATATTTTCCTCCTCCATAATTAACGAAGACCATAAGGATGAGAGCTATCCTGTAAAGCAGCAAAGGGCACACTTTCAGAGCTTGCACACATGACAAGGAATGGCCCAACTGTAAGAGACACATTTATACTCACAAGGGGCAATCACAACACAGAGGACACTTACAGAGCAGGAAGCCATTCTTTCTAATCACTGTAATTAAGGCCCTAACACAAAACCCTTCTGTTGCCAACATTTCCAACATGATTTTTTTTCCTTAATTTTAGAGAGACAAAAGACAGCATGAGTGGGGGAGGGGCAGAGAGGAAGAGAGAGAGAATCCCAAGCAGCTCCACACTGTAAGCACAGAGCCTAATATGGGGTTTGATCTAATGAACCCTGAGATCATGACCTGAGCTGAAACCAAGAGTCGGACGCTTAGCCAACTGAGCCACCCAGGCGCCCCTCCAACGTGATTTCTTGAAAGAAAGTTACACTGACGCTAAACTGTGTAACTTGAAAACAAAGCAAACGTTTCCCATCACTCAGTTTCACACTAATCACTTAGAAGTCTCAGGTTAAAGAACTGTAATAGAAAGCATACAGTTGTTAGAGATGAGGGCTCAAATCATGGGCCCTCCTCTCTTACGAGGGCAAGACTTTTATCAGTTACCTCAATGTGCTTCTCTGTAAGAGAGGAAACACACCCACAGGGGCCACTGGGACTACTGAGGAGAATAATGCATATCCTGGTGCCTAACCAGTGCTTGGCATACTTTAGGCACTTAATAAATGTTAGTCTACCTGAGAACATCTCATTTCTAAAAGCAGCAAAATGAGAATTAAAAAAAGAAAGAGGAATATGATAAAATAGACTGAATACGTGACTGTTTGATGCTAATTCTGCAGGATACTGAAGAATGAAGACTTTAGTGTGTCAGTGAGGTTATTGCCTGGCTATCCCACTTAGTCCCCAGCCGACCTCGGGCAAATTACCTAACTCTTCATCAGTACAACAGGCATATTAAAAGTTTATACCTCATAGGGTGGTGGAGAGACTGAATAAATTATGACAAGGAAGTGCCTGGCCCAGGGCAAGAATTCAAAAATTGTTACCAATGTTCATTACTCTCATTATTGCCTGGCTTCAAATATATACCCCAGGAGCACTCAGCATCTGGTGAGGCTGGGACAGAATTATAAGGTTATCACTGGAGTTTAAAAGCCCTCCGTGGGCAGAAATGGAAGGTCTGACACCTAGATGTTTATTTTCAGCTATATAGGTTTTTCTTTTTAAGGTTTTACTTTTATTCCAGTTATCATACAGTGTAATATTAGTTTCAGGTGTACAATACAGTGATTCAACACTTCCATACAACACCTGGTGCTCATCACAAGTGCACTCCTCAATCCCCATCACCTATTTCTTCCATCCCCCACCCTCCTCCCCTCAGGTAACCATCAGTTTGTCCGCTATAGTTAAGAGTCTGTTTCTCCATTTGCCTCACTCTCTCTCTTTTTTTATCCCTTTGCTCATTAGTATCACTTCTTAAATTCCACCTATGGGTGAAATCATAGGGTATTTGTGTTTCTCTGACTGGCTTATTTCACTTAACATCATACTCTCTGGGCCCATCCAGGTCATTGCAAATGGCTCAAGCTATACAGTTTTACACTTTATTTTCAGAGTTGGGTCCTAGCCCTCACTCTTCTACCTGAACTCTAAAAGAAAAACAACTTGTTGCATGACTCTGTGGATTTGCTACCAAAAGGGCCTGATATTCTAGCTGTTCTGCTAGCAGTGGGGAAGGGCCAGGACAGACACCAGCAACGGCTGGTGCTTCACTTCCAGACCGGCACACCCTCCCATTTGGCAAGCTGTTCACCAGACACAGGGGTGCAGGTGGTCATAGAGGCCCCGTGTGCAGCTGCCTGCCCACAGGTGAATGACCTTAACTCAGAAGAATCTACATACCAGTGGAAACGTTCTGGCTGTACCCCTCGACTCCTCTCTTGCAACTATTATATTTGCTATCACGACAGTTTTTGAGAAGGGAGAGACCACTGATTTATTTTTACAGCAAGAAGTCCTGCCTACCCTACAAGGTAAATGATATGTAAAAACACCTTAAGTTAGAAGTGTGTTTATGTGCAAACATGTGATCCTGGAATACCTGTGCCCACCGTGTCCCAAGGGAGCCCCACATACCCCCTGAATGTGTCTACACAGCGGAGGCGCGGAGGTGAGGCAGGTGGACACCATCCTCCTGGTTGAGTATCGCCACCGAGTGAGTCTGCCCTGCTTGGAGACCCCAGCTCCTTCAGAAAAACGGGGAGAGAAACATGCCGGTTCATAATGCTGGCAAGTAAATTTCAGTTATCTGTTTTTTAGGGAAGAAATTAACAGAATAGAGAGTAAAACTCGTCCTGAACAATCCTTTAATTTGCTTTTGTAAAGATTCCACCCAGAGGTTTAGTTTTCCACGTTATTTGGTTTTTGTGCTATCTGCTGAGCCTGCAGCTGCCATGTTGATCAATGACCACAAAAAACTGGTCCATGAGTGCATCTGGTACAAGGCTACAAATAAGTATGTCCATAAATGGACAGCAGTATGTCCATAATGAATTTAACACAATATGTTTAACCATCATAGGAGGCCACTGATTTATAGATTTCACATGGATGTCTCTTATTTTTGACACCCTCTACCTAACTGTATTGACTCAACAGTGCTGCCTGCAGAGTGAAAAAATGTCTCCACATCCTGCATACAATGCAGCCCAAAGTTCCAACTCACTAGAAAAGAGAAGGGGATCCTGCCCTTTACCAGAGCCGAAGAGAAGGCTGCTTGCTCTTTATTAAGAATACAGAACACAGGACCTGGCCCTCTACAATATAAATAACATTAATTAAGCCAGACAATAAGTATTATTAAACACAGAATTATAAATTCCAAATCTAGAAAACCACCCAGACCACACATGATGCGTTCTAATAACTCACAGAATTGATCAGGCGATCAGTTTCCCGTGAATTTATTGCTTTAGAAATCCAATTATGAAAGTCATCCAAACTGTAAATAAATAAAAAAGTCTGTTAATTTATTCCCTTTGGCAAATTTTTCAAAACGATTGGATAGCATATTAAAAGAAAATTAATTTGAAGTTCATATTCTATACGAGTCAAAGAAATAAACATTTTAAAGTATCATTATGTGTGGCCGATCTTACTTCATCCACACTCCCACCCACCGCCCCCTTTCCTGCCTTAGATTGATTATTTTAAAGAATCCCAGACATGGTATCATTTTATCATTTTAGTATGGATCTCTAATAAATAAAAGACTCTTTTTTTAAAAACAGAACTACAGTTCCATTATTACATTTTAAAATATTATCAATAATTCCTAGTATCACCAAACAGCTGGTTCAATTTGTCTCATAAGTTTTTTTCTCCAGTTCATTTGTTCAGATCAGTTTCTAAACATGAACCATATATTTAATGCACATATTCTTATTTCTTCTCTTTTTTCCCTACAACATACTCTTCTTTCTACCTCATTCAGCATTGGTAACATCACCACCACATGAAAATATTAAAACAGAGACATCTAAGGAAGGCCGAAAGGAGAACTTAAGATATTTAAAAATTAGAATTTTTAAAACGCCCTTAATTTTCTTGTATTTTCTTGTCTTCCCAGTGAAAGGCGAGAGACCCTGTATTCTTACTACTGCCTCAGATTCTTCTGGTTCAGACAAACCTAAGCATTCCGGGACTCCCACGGGCACACTGAAAAGTAATAAGCAAGGGACAAGGGACTCTCGCTTGCCAGCAGAGCATTCTGCCTACAAGGCTGCAGAGGCAGAATCACATGCAATTTCAATTCCACAGTGGAGTGAGGTGTGATTTCTTCCCTGTGCAAGAGCTCAAGATCAGAGACCAATTACCTTAGAAAGTGATGTCATAGAGCCATTCATATTGAAAGCACCAAATGAATACACTGTAATAAACTGGAACAGTATCTGCATCTTATCTTATCAAAAGATTGACAAGACAATGGCTTAATTCAAAGAAATGAAACCCCTCTGCTAAAATTACACTCTGCCCCTAAAAAGCAGTTAAGTGAAAAATATGCTTCTGAGCAAGTAGTAGTCCTTTTACCCTTCCAGACCCTTATATTTCTGGGATGCACAAAGGGAAGAGGGCCAGACTTCATGGACTCCCCAAAGCTGCTGGGTTTCCCCAAGGTGGCAGGCAGACTTAGACTAGGTTTTCTTTTTTCTAGTTTAGATATGGCTCACCCATAACACCTTGTGATCTATGAGACTCTAACAGGCGGAGCATTCCAATCAATCTTATTTCTTTAAAAACATGAAAGAACTTTCCTTTGAACGGTGATCTGCCAGGCCTAGATCTATTTTTAATATTTATTTTTGAGAGAGAGAGAGAGAGAGAGACACAGCGTGAGCAGGGAAGGGGCAGAGAGAGAGAGAGAGAGAGAGAGAGAGAGAGAGAGACACAAAGCCCAAAGTAGCTCCAGGCTCCGAGCTGTCAGCACAGAGCCTGACGTGGGGCTCAAACTCACAAAACGCAAGATCATGACCTGAACCGAAGTTGGACTCTAAACCCACTGAACCGCCCAGGCACCACAGGCCTGGATCTATTTTACTTTCTTGTTTTTTTATTTTTCCAGTCTACTAATTCACTCTCACCCGACTCACTGTTAACCAGACAGACAGGGGAGAAGGAATCCCCTCGCCAAGCTGCCTGCCTGTCCTAACCAGGGCAAAGCGAGTCCATGCCGAGGTGTAAAGGTCCAGCCCCCCATCTTCCATCTCTGCGCTGGATGCCCAGCTGGCAGGAGTTGGGATGCTGGCCCAGAGGGCGGCCTCGAGGCTCAGAGCCAGAGAGGGGGACGAAGAACACAGTGGGGCAGCCGCTTCCTGAAATCAGCCCAGGCTTCTCCCACTCACTACAAAAGCAAGCTGCAAGATTCTTTCTGGAAATAATGCCTTCTCAAGCATTTTCTTCTAATTTTTAGCCATTTGGGAGGATTGAAGGCAAAGATCCATTCAAACTAGTTATCATTTCCCTGAAGTCAGGGACCATCGCTTATTCTACAATGGTCCCTAATACCCAGGACTGGACTGGCCATGGAGGACACATAAGCATTCATTTAATCAAAGAATAACAGTCATTTAAAGAGTCAAACTATCCTGAATATCCTTTTTCTATATTCTACTCCCCCCAACTGTGTCCTCCCCTAACATCTGCTTACCTCAGTAAAAACCTGAGAAATGAGACTGCAATGATGATTGCCACACCAATAAGGAAAGCGACACACACAGCTAGAAAAATCAAAGAAAACACGGTATCACCAAAACGTCATCATAAGCATTGAAGCTGTCACGTCACTACATTTCATCTGTAAGTCAAAAAAGCAAACAAAAATGGAAACAAGTGAGGGAAAAGCCTATATTCTCATGCTAACTTTCCTATATTCCTATAAACAATTGAGAACACTCATCATTAGGGGAATGCTAATTTTCATTATGAAAAATATAAAACATCTACAAAAGAACAGAGATTTGTATAATACGCCCACATATACGCATCCCTAGATGCGTAGTATTATCTAGTATTATCAACATACTGTCACTCTTGCTTCATCTACTGCTACTCTCCCTCTGCTTTTTATTTATTTATTTTTTTTGAGAGAGAGAGCATGAGTGGGGGAGGGGCAAAGAGGTGGGGAGAGAGAATCCCAAGCAAGCTCCGCACTGTCAGCTCAGAGCCCGATGTGGGGCTTGATCCCACAAACCGTGAGATCATGACCTGAGCCGAAATCAAGAGCCAGACACTTAACCAACTGAGCCACCCAGAAGCACCTCTTGCCTATAGTATTTTTAAGCAAATCCCAGACATCATGTCATCTCCTCCATCCATCTTCCATATGTATCTCTAAAGCACAGACCTCATAAAAGACATGTCAGCATCATGCAACTCCTGACATGGCACACTGAGAAGGCTTAATCTACCAAAAATGCACGCCCTCTACCTAGTTAAGAGAAAACATGTTGCACTTTGCAAGCAAGTGCAAATAACAAAATAACTGACCAGTCCTCTTCAAAAGTGTCAAGATCATGAAAGAAAAAAAAGGCTGCAGAGACCCAACAACTAAATGGGCTGTGGGATCCTGAACTGCATCCTGGACCAAAAGGGGGGAGCCTTAGAAGGGACAACTGGAGAAATCTGAAAAGCCTATACATCAGTTAATAGCACTATACCGATGTTAACGTCCTTGTTTCGATCGTATATATGGGATAACTGTACTATGATTACATAGTTTAGGGGAAGCTAGGAGAAAAGTAAATGGGAACTCCTTTTTGCAATGTTTCTAAAATTACTTCAAAATTAAAAGTTTCTTAAAAATGGACCCTTTGTTATATAATCACAATGTCATTAACAATTCTCTGGCTAACACTGCGACCATATTCCAATTTCTCTAGTTATCTCAAAAAGGTTTTTTGTAGTTACTGTGTTCAGATCAGGACCCAAACATGGTTCCCATTTTGTATTTGCTTGTTATGGCTCTTCAGTCAGCTGATGTTATGGCTAATCATAAGTAGCCATTGACCTGTTTGAAATAAGTCGTCTATTAGTACGTCTCCTTTTCTAGATCTGTCAGTATATTTCCTCATGGTGTCACTGGACTTGTTCTTCTACCCTCCAAGCTAAAGGGGAAATTAGCTGTAAAGACTTGACTAAAAAAAGTTCAACTTTTTTTGGCAAGAATGCTTCACAGATGGAGCTGTGTCTTTCCCACTGCACATCAGGAGCACCTGCTGCAAATGCCCATGTGCCCAATGCACGTGTCAGCTGGGGGAAGCCTCAAGTTCCCCTTTCATGTGATGGTTTCATCCACTCATGACTTTTGTGTACATCAATTCCTTCATTAAGGATTACCATATATTCTGCCATTCTGTCACATGCATTAGCTGGAATTATTCCCTAAAGAATTTACCCTCATCATCTCAGACTACATAGTTATCATAAAATACAATTAAAACAGGAAAGGCATGGGATGCCTTGGTGGCTCAGTCGGTTGAGCATCTGACTTGATTTTAGCTTGGGTCATGATCCCAGGGTTGTGGGATTGAGCCATGCATCAGGCTCTGTGCTGAGCAAGAAGCTTGCTTATAATTCTTTCTCTCTCTCCCTCTGCCCCTTTTCCCCTGCTCTAAAATAAAAATAAAACAAAAACAAAACAAAACAAACAAACAAAAACGGGAAAGGCAGGATAAATGCTTAGATCCTTCCTTTCAATTGATAATTTTAAGTCACTCCAGTTAACATCAGGTGGTCCTTGTTATCTCCGAAGGCAACCAAAGTATTGTTTTTGTGTAGGGAAGGGGCTTTGTTTTTTGGTGGTTGTTGTTTTTAAATTTACTTATTTATTTTGAGAGAGAGAGAGTGCGTAGGGGAGGGGGAGAGAGAGAGAGAGAGGGAGAGAGGGAGAGTCCCAAGCAGGTTCCATGCTGTCAGCACATAGCCACCCAACTTGGGGCTTAATCTCATGAACGATTAGACCATGACCTGAGCTGAAACCAAGAGTAGGATACTTAACCGACTGAGCCACCCAGGCACCCTCAGCTTTGTTTTGTTTTTTTTTTTCATAACAAACTTTGATTTTTGTACATACAATGTGTTTCCATCAATGACATTCCTTATTCTTTTTAATGCTTCAACTGTCCCATGTTGGTTCTTTCATTCTTTTTGGGGGGGCTCTTACATTCTTTTGACCTGACCCTATGGTCTTCAAAAGCTTCACTGTAGACAAGTACTTATTAATGCTCCTGGGGGTTATTATATTATCTAATGGGGGCTCAGACTGACAGATTTTCTTCAGTGGAGTTATTAGAGAATGAACAGTCCCTCCTTAATCTAAGGGACTTCTGGATGGTCCACGTAAGACACATACAGAGAATACTGTGCCCTATATCCTAAAACAAGGAAGTTACTTGACAGTCATTTTCCCTATTTCCAGTTTGTTCCCATTGCATTAACTTTTTTTTGGTTATTTATCTTCATAATTAAACTAAATAACACCTATGAGAATATGTTGGTCATATAATTTTCTTAAATATCACATAATTTTCTTAGCATACACTAACAATACAATAAATACATCATAGGTATACAATAAATATAATGTACTTATAATACAACTGTACAATAAATATAAATAAATACAATAAATACATTATAAATAACTAAATAAGACAGATAACCTATAATTCAGGTTTTAAAGTACACAAAGTGTCACAAGCAGTACTCAAAAACTAAAATCTTTGAAATACAAATTTTAAAAAATTAACAAACAGCATATACGTACGAAGGTTACTGTCAATTGGATTCTTATTGACAACTACGTCACAAGCAATTTCATTGACTCCATTATGGACGTGCTTTACCAAGAGTGAATAGTTTCCAAATTCTCCAAATTTATATTCCAGCCTACAAAAATTTGGTAAATTTAAGAAAAATGGTTAGATTAGGAAATAAGGAGTGGATTATGGTAATGTCATCAAGGCAGTGACAGACCAGGAAAGATATTTAAAAATACTGTATTTTGAAGGAAGGAAAAGCTGAAAACCAAATAGGGATGAAAAAATAGAAAATGCAGGTGCCAGCAGATCACATTAAAGCAGATACGAACCTACAAACTTCCTTCTCTTCCACAGTGTCATTAAGTTGCAGGATAGATCCATGCTGGGTGCTCACAGCAACCGCCGCAGTGCTAGGCTTCCCAGGTTTTCCACTCCAGGAAACATTTACTAGAACCTGAAATGAGCACTGTAAAACAAAAACACAAGCCACTGTGAGAGGTGTTTGAAAGTCAGGTGGCTGTTGGAGCACATGAACACCCACCCATCTGAAATCCTGAGGTGACTTTTCCTTCATACTTGTAATTTTTTTTAAGTTTATTTATTTTTGAGAGACACAGAGACAGCACAAGAGGGGGAGGGGCAGAGAGACAGGGAGACAGATAATCCCAACCAGGTTCCATGCTGTCAGCCCGATGTGGGGCTCAAAACCACGAAACCACGAGGTCATGACCTGAGTCGAAACCAAGAGTTGGATGCTTTAAGTGACTAAGCCAACCAGGCACCCATTTTCCTTCATACTTACAAAAAAACTTTTAAATTCCAATAATTTAGATAAAATTTGCCTATATAACTATGTGTTGCCATACAATCTTTACTCATGGGTAGATTTTTCATACAATTAATAAATAGAGCATATATTGCCTTGCATTCCATTTTGTTACATATTGTTTAATTGGTAAATTTCCATCATTCTACCTAATTTGCATATTTAAAATTTTTAATGATTGCTTTATAGTCCATTACATACTAAAAATGTATTTAGGCTGCTTTCAAAACTTTTTTAATCTTCTTATGTGTAATTTATATAAATTATGTTCTGAAAGATAAATATAGGGGCATCTGGGTAACTCATTGAGTTAAGCAACCAACTCCTGATTTCGGCTCACGTCATGATCTCACAGGCTTCATGAGATCAAGCCCCATGTTGGGCTCTGAGCTTACAACATGGAGCTGCTTGGGATTCTCTCTCTGCCCATACCTTCCCCGTTCATGCTCTTTCTCTCCCAAAATAAATACATAAATATTAAAAAAAAAGATAAACATACAGTATATGTAATTACATTTTTAATTTATGTTATACATAATTTATATAACATATTGCTTCTAAAGATCTGTACATGATGTGCTTTTTTTAAAATTTTTTTTAACATTTATTTATTATTGAGAGACAGAGAGAGGCAGAGCATGAGCAGGGGAGGGGCAGAGAGAGGAGGAGACACAGAATCTGAAGCAGGCTCCAGGCTCTGAGCTGTCAGCGCAGAGCCCGACGTGGGGCTCGAACTCATGAATGGCAAGATCATGACCTGAGCTGAAGTCGGATGCTCAACTGACTAAGCCACCCAGGCGTCCCTGTGCTTTTTTTTTTTTTAATTAATTTATTTTGAGAGAGAGAGAGAGCATGTGCATGCACATGTACATGCAGTGAGGGGCAGAGAGAATCCCAAACAAGCTCTGCACTGTCAGCGTGAAGCCTGACTCAAGGCTCCATCTTATGAACCATGAGATCTTGACCTGGGTGGACATCAAGAGTTGGACACTTAACCAACTGAGTCACCCAGGCATTCCTACACATGATATTCTTATTCCTTTAAATTCTTTCCCTAAAATAAATTTCCAAAAATTACATTATTGGATAAAAAATAATCATTTTAATGGTTCTTTTCATATGTGCCCAAACAGTAGTCAAATAAGAAAAATTACAATATATTAGTTCCTCATTAGCCTTACCAAGATTTAAAAATCTTTCTTTTTGTTCATGTACCAAATATTTATGACATCACAGCATTAAGATTACATTTTAAGTTATTAAATAATTCAATATTCTGTTATGTTTCTTTTTTTTACCATTTTATTTATTTTTTTAATTTACGACCAAGTTAGTCAGCATATAGTGCAACAATGATTTCAGGAGTTTATTTCTTAACGCCCCTTACCCATTTAGCCCATCCCCCCTCACACACCCCCTCCAGCAACCCTCTGTTTGTTCCTATATTTAAGAGTCTCTTATGTTTTGTCCCCCTCCCTGTTTTATATTATTTTTGCTTCTCTTCCCTTACGTTCATCTGTTTTGTCTCTTAAAGTCCTCATATGAGTGAAGTCATATGATATTTGTCTTTCTCTGACTAATTTTGCTTAGCATAATAACCGCTAGTTCCATCCAGGTAGTTGCAAATGGCAAGATTTCATTCTTTTTGATTGCTGAGTAATACTCCATTGTATACATATGCCACTTCTTCTTTATCCATGAATCCATTGATGGGCATTTGGGCTCTTTCCATACTTTGGCTATTGTTGATAGTGCTGCTATAAACATTGGGGTGCATGTGCCCCTTTGAAACAGCATACCTGCACCCCTTGGATAAATACCTAGTAGTGCAATTGCTGGGTCGTAGGGTAGTTCTATTTTTAATTTTTTGAGGAACCTCCATACTGTTTTCCAGAGTGGCTACACAAGTTTGCATTCCCACCAGCAGTACAAAAGAGATCCTCTTTCTCTGCATCCTTCCCAACATCTACCGTTGCCTAAGTTGATAATGTCAACCCTTTTGACAGGAGTGAGGTGGTATCTCATTGTGGGTTTGATTTGTATTTCTCTGATGAGTGATGTTGAGCGTTTTCTCATGTGTCAGTTGGCCATCTGGATGTCTTCTTTGGGGAAGGGTCTATTCATGTCTTTTGTCCATTTCTTCACTGGATTCTGTTTTTTGGGTGGGGAGTTTGATAAGTTCTTTATAAATTTTGTATACTAACCCTTTATCTGATATGTAATTTGCAAATAGCTTCTCCCATTCTGTCAGTTGTCTTTTAGTTTTGCTGATTATTTCCTTCAGTGTGCAGAAGCTTTTTATTTTGATGGGGTCCCAATAGTTCATGTTTGCTTTTGTTTCCCTTGCCTCCAGAGAGACACGTGTTGAGTAAGAAGTTGCTGCAGCTGAGGTCAAATAGGTTTTTGCCTGCTTTCTCCTTGAGGATTTTGATGGCTTCCTGTCTTACATGGAGGTCTTTCATCCATTTTGAGTTTATTTTTGTGTATGGTGTAAGAAAGTGGTCCAGGTTCATTCTTCTGCATGTCGCTGTCCAGTTTTCCCAGCACCACTTGCTGAAGAGACTGTCTTGATTCCATTGGATATTCTTTCCTGCTTTGTCAAAGATTAGTTGGCCATTCGTTTGTGGGTCCATTTCTGAGTGTTCTATTCTGTTCCATTGACCTGAGTGTCTATTTTTGTGCCAGTACCATACTGTCTTGATGATTACAGCTTTGTAACAAACACAGCTTGAAGTCCGGGATTGTGATGCCTCCTGATTTGGTTTTCTTTTTCAAGACTGCTTTGGCTATTCGGGGTCTTTTCTGGTTTCATACAAATTTTAGGATTGTTTGTTCTAGCTCTGTGAAGAATGCTGGTGTTATTTTGATAGCTATTGCATTGAATATGTACAGTGCTTTGGGTAGTATTGACATTTGAACAATATTTGTTCTTCCTATCCAGGAGCATGGAATCTTTTTCCATTTTTTTGTGTCTTCAATTTCTTTCATAAGCTTTCTATAGTTTTCAGTGTATAGATTTTTCACCTCTTTGGTTAGATTTATTCCTAGGTATTTTATGGTTTTTGGTGCTACTGTAAATGGGATCGATTCCTTGATTTCTCTTTCTGTTGCTTCACTGTTGATGTATAAGAATGCAACTGATTTTTGTGCATTGATTTTATATCCTGCAACTTTGCTGAATTCATGGATCAGTTCTAGCAGTTTTTTGGCAGAATCTTTTGGGTTTTCCATATAAAGTATCATGTCATCTGCAAAGACTGAAAGTTTGACCTCCTCCTGGCTGATCTGGATGCCTTTTATTTCTTTGTGTTGTCTGATTGCTGAAGCTAAGACTTCCAATCCTATGTTGAATAACAGTGGCAAAAGTGGACATCCCTGTCTTGTTCCAGACCTTAGGGGGAAAGCTCTCATTTTTTCCCCATTGAGGATGATATTAGCATTGGGTCTTTCATATATGGCTTTTATGATCTCGAGGTATGATCCTTCTATTCCTACTTTCTTGAGGGTTTTTATCAAGAAAGGATGCTGTATTTTGTCAAATGCTTTTTCTGCATCTGTTGAGAGGATCGTGTGGCTCTTGTCCTTTCTTTTATTAATGTGAAAATCAATCAATGTGATTCACATTGATTGTTTTGCAGATATTGAACCAGCCCTGCGTTCCAGGTATAAATCCCACTTGGTCATGGGGAATAATTTTTTTAATGTATTGTTGGGTATGGTTGGCTAATATCTTGTTGAGGATTTTTGCATCCATGTTCATCAGGGAAACTGGTCTACAGTTCTCCTTTTTAGTGGGGTCTTTGGTTTTGGAATCAAGGTAATGCTGGCTTTATAGAAAGAGTTTGGAAGTTTTCCTTCCACTTCTATTTTTTCGGAAAAGCTCCAAGAGAATAGGTGTTAACTCTTCCTTAAATGTTTGGTAGAATTCCCCTGGAAAGCCATCTGGCCCTGGACTCTTGTTTGTTGAGAGATTTTTGATTACTAATTCAATTTCTTTACTGGCTATGGGTCTGTTCAAATTTTCTATTTCTTCCTGTCTCAGTTTTGGTAGTTTATATGTTTCTAGGAATTTGTCCATTTCTTCCAGATTGCCCATTTTATTGGTGTGTAATTGCTCATAATATTCTCTCATTATTGTTTGTATTTATGCTGTGTTGGTTGTGATCTCTCCTCTTTCATTCTTGATTTTATGTATTTGGGTCCTTTCCTTTTTCTTTTTGGTAAAACTGGCTAGTGGTTTATCAATTTTGTTAATTCTTGCAAAGAACCAGCTTCTGATTTTATTGATCATTCTACTGTTTTTTTTGTTGTTGTTGTTGGGTTTTTTTTTTGTTTTTTTTTTTGTTTTGTTTTTTTTCTTGGTTTCAATAGCATTGATTTCTGCTCTAATCTTTATTATTTCCTGTTTGCTGCTGGTTTGGGGTTTTATTTGCTGTTCTTTCTCCAGCTCTTTAAGGTGTAAGGTTAGGTTGATGTATCTGAGACCTATCTTCCTTCTGTAGGAAGGCATGGATTGCTATATACTTTCCTCTTATGACCGCCTTTGCTGCATCCCAGAGGTTTTAGGCTGTGGTGTTATCATTTCCATTGGCTTCCAAGTACTTTTTAATTTCCTCTTTAACATCTTGGTTAGCCCATCCATTCTTTAGTAAGACTTTCTTTAGTCTCCAAGTATGTGTTACCTTTCCAAATTTTTTCTTGTGGTTGATTTCAAGTTTCATAACGTTGTGGTCTGAAAATATGCACAGTATGATCTCGATCTTTTTGTACTTGTTGAGCGCTGATTTACGTCCCAGTAATGACCTATTCTGGAAAACATTCCATGTGCACTGGAGAAGAATGTGTATTCCACTGCTTTAGGATGAAATGTTCTGAATATATCTGTTAAGTCTATCTGGTCCAGTGTGTCATTCAAAGCCATTGTTTCCTTGTTGATTTTCTGTTTAGATGATCTGTCCATTGCTGTGAGTAGGGTGTTGAAGTCCCCTACTATTATGGTATTATTATCAATGAGTTTCTTTATGTCTGTGATTAATTGATTTATATATTTGGGTGATTCCACATTTGGCACATAAATGTTTACAATTGTTAAGTCTTCCTGATGGATAGACCCCTTAATTATGATATAATGTCCTTCTTCATCTCTTGTTACAGTCTTTATTTTAAAGTCTAGATTGTCTGATGTAAGTATGGCTACTCCTGCTTTCTTTTGTTGACCATTAACATGATAGATGGTTCTCCATCCCTTTACTTTCAATCTGAAGGTGTATTTAGGTCTAAAGTGGGTCTCTTGTAAACAGCATATAGATGGATCTTGTTTTCTTATCCATTCTATTACCCTATGTCTTTTGATTAGAGCATTTAGTCCACTGACATTTAAAGTGACTACTGAAAGATATGAATTTATTGCCATTATGTTTCTTGTAGAGTTGGGAGTTTCTGGTGGTGTTCTCTGGTCCTTTCTAGTCTTTGTTGATTTTGGTCTTTTTTTTTTTTTTTTTTTTTTTTTTTGTCTTTTCTCCCCTCAGAGATCCCCCTTAAAATTTCTTGCAGGGCTGGTTTAGTGGTGACAAACTCCTTTAATTTGTGTTTGTCTGGGAAACTTTTAATCTCTCCTTCTATTTTTAATGACAGCCTTGCTGGATAAAGAATTCTTGTTTGCATATTTTTCTAATTCAGTACACTGAATATATCCTGCCACTACTTTCTGGCCTGCCAAGTTTCTGTAGATAGGTCTGCTGCAAACCTGGTCTGCAGCAAATAGGTCTGCTTCTGTGTTTCCTTGTAGGTTAAGGACTTTTTTTTCCCTTGCTGCTTTCATGATTCTCTACTTGCCTGAGTATTTTGTGAATTTGACTATGATATGCCTTGTTGATGGTTGATTTTTGTTAAATCTAATGGGAGTCATCTGTGCTTCCTGGGTTTTGATGCCTGTATCTTTCCCCAAGTCAGGAACGTTTTCTGCTATGATTTGCTCACATAACCCTTCTACCCGTTTTTCTCTCTCTTCTTCTGGGACCCTATGATTCTGATGTTGTTCCTTTTTTTTTTTTTAATGTTTATTTATTTTTTGAAAGAGAGAGAGACAGAGTGTGAGCAGGGGAGGGGCAGAGAGAGAGAGAGGGAGACACAGAATCCAAAGCAGGCTCTAGGCTCTGAGCTGTCACCACAGAGCCCAATTCAGGGTTTGAACTCGCAAGCCATGAGATTATGACCTGAGCTGAAGTCGGTTGCTAAACCAACTGAGCCACCCAGACGCCCCTGTATATTCTTCTTTTTTAATAATATTTTAAAGATACAGTAACATTATTATATTTATCATACTGAGAACATATCTACCTAAGGGAAAAAAAGAAAACTAAATGGCCTTGCTTATACTAATTTACGTCTGAAAATAATTAACAGTCAAAAGTAACAGATCACCACTTTGGATTCCTTCACTGCAATGAAAGCCCAGGATTTCTGTCTCCCATTCACTGCTTCTCCCTTCTCACCACCTCCAGATCTGCTGAGGAATACTGTTTATGATGCTAAAAAACAATTTTTGTTTTCTTTTTTTGTCATTTACACCTTACTTTAAGTCAACTATAATAATTACTCATATTTAACATTACAATACTAACCTTCTTCCCATTTTTGTTCTCTTTTAAAGCGCACACACACACAAATCACTTGCTGACACATGGGATCTCTAGCTGTCTTGAAGCTATGAAATCTAGTCAACACTTTTTTTTAACGTTTATGTGTTTTTTAATGTGTATGTCTCTTAAGTGTTTCTATTTTAAGGAAAGGAAATTCTCATTTAGCCAGATAACTTATCTTGAGGACATATCTTCAACTGGTAAGCCCACCATTCCCAGGTATTTATTATCTGGCTTATAGAACAAATTATTAAAATTTGCATTCCTTTGAATATGTATTTCTATATTTGCTTAAAGATTTAAAAATTATCATTAATTTTCCAAATTTAAAACAGGTTATGTCTCAATTCTATTTTCTGGTTAACCATTACACCCTCATAAAGTGTCTTTCCAATTTCCAGACTATAAAGTCTTCTCTGGAATTATGGGACATTTTCTACAACTATGTTTCAATGAAAACTCTACCACCCCTTTACACATTTTCCTAAAACAAAATTATCTCCACGCTCTTGTAAATAAATTAGCAGTTTTTTTCCCCGAGCTGGTCTCAGGTAGCTAATTCTGTTTTTTGATTCTTTACTGTCACCAGCATCACTGTTTTGAATCAGTTATTCTACTGTTTTTATTCTAAAGATGCTTTAGTTGTCCTATGGCTAATACCCTGGCAATGCACTCTTTTTTTCCCCCTCACATTGCTTTTCTGTAAATTTTAGGCCTTTATTGTCTGTTTAGAAGACATTTTGCTCATTCTCTGAATTATCTATGATTCTTGTGGCTTTGAAATTCAGCTATTATTGATATTTTTTTCAAGTTTCTTTTAGGTCCTTCACATAGACAGATAAAGCTTTCCTTTGTCTTTGCTATATATATTTTTTAACACTATACATTTTCTTTGCTTCATATAACTTTGTAGAGCTCTCAGTGAGTTTAATCAAACAGAGGGGGGACCATCCATCACCTCTTCAGCTGGTATGCACACTGGGGATTTTTTTGTTTGTTTGTTTCTTTTTTAAAAGCTATTTATGGTAAACAGGTCCCTAAACAGTCTCTGACTTACTGTAGTTCGATTTATGGTTATTCAACTTTATCATAGTATGAAAGCAATATGCATTCAGTAGAAACTGTACTTGGAATTTTGAATTTTCGTCTTTTCCTGGGCTAGCACTATGCAGTAGGACCCTCTGTCATGATGGAAGTCAGCAGCAGCAAAACAAAGCCCAGTCAGCCATGTAACCCTGGGGGTCAGTGAATGAGAAGCTGTGGGCTAGTGTAAGTGCTCTGAGCATGTGTGAGGAAGGCTGGACTACACTATGCTGTTCAGTAAGTTACGTGTATTCAATGCATTTTTGTCTTAAAGTAGTTTCAATTTACAGGGGGATGCAATCCATGGGAAGAAAATCTGTACATTAAAATTCCTCCTCTGAAGGCGGTACACTGAAGTGCTCAATTTGGAAATGAAGATGATTTTATTTTACCTGGAAGAACAGTCTTGTACTTAAAAAGCAGCAAGGTCTAGTAATTATACCTTGAGATAAAATAAACCCTTTATCAACAATTGAAAAAAAAGAAAAAAGGAGAGATTGACAAACCAAGAAACAGACTCTTAACCATAGAGAACAAACTGATGGTTATCAGAGGGGAGGTGGGTGATGGGTGAAATAGGTGAAGGGATAAGAGTACACTGATCTTGGGGCGCCTGGGCGGGTCAGTCAGTTGAGTGTCCAACTTCAGCTCAGGTCACGATCTCTCAGTTCATGGGTTCGAGCCCCATGTCAGGCTTTCAACTGACAGCGCAGAGCCTGCTTCAGATTCTCTGTCTCCTTCTCTGTCTGCCCCTTCCCTGCTAGTCTCTCAAAACTGCTCTCTTCTCTCTCTCTCAAAAATAAATAAACATTAAAAAAAATTTTTTTAAAAGAATACACAGATCTTGATAAGCACTAAGCAATGTACAGAACTGTTGAATCACTATATTGTACACTTGAAACTAATATAATACTGTATGTTAACTGTACTAAAGAACTTAATAAAAATAAATCCTTTATCATCAGGAGGGCAGATCCCTGGAATAACTGCCATGCCTCAACCTGAGCTTCCCCATTGTCTTCACGACCTTTGCCCCTGGAGAATACCCAGGTGTCCCACTCCTTTCTTCTCTGGTCCAACAAGAGGGTTATGTGTTAGAGGAGTAAAATAAAATATGGTCTATCCCTTTTTCTCATCACTGAGAACTGAGTTTTCAAAAGATGGGTGGGGGGAAAGTTGAGAGACTGGCATTGTTCACTGCTAGGCATTCTCCCTGATTATACATCTTCTGGTATACAGCCTGTATGTTTCCTTACCTACAGAACTGAAGTTAACAAGAAAACAACTGTGAGAGCATGGAGGATCATATCAAACAGCCCAAAGCAAACAAAGCTGTGAGCATGAACATAATACCTACATGATAACAGCGTTCAGAATTCCAGTAGACAGTCAGGTTTGTTCCATGTAGTTCGTTATGGATGAGCAGCAACGCTTGGTCCATCTTCAGCTCTACATGCCTTTTTTTATCTAAGTCTGCTAAGAATTAGAAAAAAAGTTTTAAAAAGCAGAAAAACAAAGCATCTGAAAGACTACATAAGAGACGAAGTGCACTTCACAGGAGTGCTTCTCGAATGCCTGCCCTCTAAGGTTCTAGGGTGTCTCATTCCTTACTCTGTGAACACATAACTGTGCTTGCACACACAAGCGTGCCTGAACACGTGCACACGTGCGCGCACTCACACACACACACACACACACACACACACACACACACACAGAGTTGCCCTTTTGTACATGTGCCTCTACTATAAAACAGAATTTGGTTAACATCATTCACGTCCTGTGTGTACCGGGACTACGTAGGACCTTACGTTCATCACGTGCTAAGGTGTGGCAGGCCCTGAATTTACTAGTTTCACATATCTTCCATTTGACAATATGTCAACCTCACAATCTGGGTATTTTCTCCATTTAGCACATGAAAAAATGGAGGCTCACAAGCATTAGATAATTGTGCATGGCCAGGGTTCTGCAAAATCACTGTGTGAACCCAATCAATTTGTGTGATTCCAAAGTCCAAACTTTCTTCAATCATGTTAATCCCACCCCCCTATGAGTGCAGCTCGGGAGAAGTCAGGACACCGGGTGAGCAAGGCTCTGTGGGGATTTGCATGCCCTTTAAAGTTTGAGATGCTCTGCCTTCTATCACTTTGGTTTGGACTTCTGAATCTCCTTCTGGCTTCCAGCAGAAGACAAGATGAGCCTCAGTCTGAAGGGAGAAGTCCCACCACTCCAGAGTCCCTAAGCTTAGAGCTTACCACTTTACTAGATGCTCTTAGGACAATCTAAAGACAATGCACATTCTACATTTACACCTGCCAATATGGTAGGCAAACAAAGAGAACTATTATTAGTTAAAGTGAAAGCAAAATGTTTCATTTAGACCAACCTCCTCATTTATACTATTATATGGTACAAAAGAGAAATTAATTTGCCCTCTAGCTTCCAGGCCAAAAGAGAGAGAGAGAGAGAGAGAGAGAGAGAGAGAGAGAGAGAGAGAGAAACTATTTAATAACACAATGAGAAAGATAATAATCTAGCCTCTTTTATTTTGTTATATGAAAGCTTATTTTAGGGCTCCCCAGGAACTCATGTGAATGGTTAATTCAGGAAATTTTTCACTGTAGCCAGCCTAAATCCCTCATTTTATTATTTTTAAAAGATATTTATTTAGAGAGAGTGTGTGCACACACAAGCAGGGGAGGGGCAGAGAGAGGGGGAGAGAGAATCCCAAGCAGGCTCCACTCTGTCAGCACAGAGCCCAACATGGGCTCAAGAACCATGAGATCATGACCTGAGTTGAAATCAACAGTCAGAGTCAGACACTTAACTAACTGAGCCACCCAGATGCCCCTAAATCCCTCATTTTAAGGTTTACCCTAATGTACCCTTATTTAGTTAGCTCTTGGTAAATACAAAACCCACAATATATCACTCTTAATAATCTATTGAAAGCTGTCCCCCTTCTACACTAAAGAAAGTTATACTCACTTTTTCTATCCTTTCCTTCTGAAGAGTGTCTTCTAGTGGAAGCAGTGTTTGGGACCAAGGGTGTAACATGGTGGGTTAAGTGTCTGGACTCCAAGTTAGACCAACTGGAATTTGAATCACACCCTGTCTCAGCTTCCTCATCAATAAATTAAGAGTCCAAAGGTTCTACACTCAATTTCCATTGTTGGGTGAAGGTTCCCACACTACCAAGCAATTCTCAGACACCAGCTGGGTGTCCTACAATTCAACTCAATTCTGACACTATGTACCTGGAGACAGTGTCAGATGCCACAGATAAGGGGCTCAGTCCCACAAGACTGACTCTGCCTTCAGATGTCAGTCACCAGCACAAGGTACCACCTGTGCTTCAGACCGACCAGCTATGGATTGGAGGTTCCCAAGGCCCCCTTCTCACGTTTGATTAATTTACTAGAGCAGCTCACAGAACTCAGAGAAACATTTTACTACTAGATTACTGGTGTATTATAAGAGGGTATAACTGAGGAACAGCCAGATGGCAGAGATGCACAAGGCAAGACACAGGGAAAGGGTATGGAGCTCCCATGTCCTCTCCCAGGCTGCCACTCTCCCCAAATCTCCAAGTGTTCACCAACCCAGAAGCTCTCTGAACCCCATTCTTTGAGTTTCTATGGAGACTTCATTACCAAGGCAATTGATTAAACCATTGGTCGTTTATGACTGATTCAACCTCCAGCCCCTCTCCCTTCCCCAGATGCTGGCTGTGGGACTGAGAGTTCCAACATTCAAATCACAGGGTGGGTTCTCCAGGTCACCAGTCCCACCCTTCAGTAGAGGCCAAAGATCACCTAATTAACATAACAAGGAACACTTTGGCAGCTCTCTCCACAGAGGAAATTACAGGTGTTGTAGAAGCCCCTGTGCAAGATGAAAACCAAATACATACATTTCTTGATAAAAACCACACTTGTAACAGCATGTCCTTCACAGTACTGCTGGGAAGGCTAAAGTTAATAATATATGTAATGTGTTGCCACAGAATCTGAAACAAAGCAGGTATTCAACACATGATAATTACAATGTCCAGGCCACATCTAACCAACACAGAGCTTCATTAGGGTTACGAACATATGAATATTTTTTGGTTGTTTCTTCTTTTTTCATTTAACTTCATTTCCGATTTCTTCCCATTTCCTCTTTTTTCCTGTTGTAAGAAATGATACTACATACATCTGAAAATTAACCTGTTCTCCTTTCGACATAATTCCCTAACTTCCAGGAGTGAAATTTTACAGCTTTTTAAATAGCTTTTGCTCTGTACTGCCAAAATCCTCTCCATTTTAGTTGTGATTTTTTTTCAATATATGAAGTTTATTGTCAAATTGGTTTCCATTAAACACCCAGTGCTCATCCCAAAAGGTACCTTCCTCAATACCCATGACCCACCCTCCCCTCACTCCCACCCCCCATCAACCCTCAGTTTGTTCTCAGTTTTTAAGAGTCTCTTATGCTTTGGCTCTCTTCCACTCTAACCTCTTTTTTTTTTTTTTCTTCCCCTCCCCCATGGGTTTCTGTTAAGTTTCTCAGGATCCACACAAGAGTGAAAACATATGGTATCTGTCTTTCTCTGTATGGCTTATTTCACTTAGCATAACACTCTCCAGTTCCATCCATGTTGCTACAAAGGGCCATATTTCATTCTTTCTCATTGCCACATAGTATTCCATTGTGTATATAAACCACAATTTCTTTATCCATTCATCAGTTGATGGACATTTATTTTTTTTCAACGTTTTTTTTTATTTATTTTTGGGACAGAGAGAGACAGAGCATGAACGGGGGAGGGGCAGAGAGAGAGGGAGACACAGAATCGGAAACAGACTCCAGGCTCCGAGCCATCAGCCCAGAGCCTGACGCGGGGCTCAAACTCACGGACCGCAAGATCGTGACCTGGCTGAAGTCGGACGCTTAACCGACTGCGCCACCCAGGCACCCCAGTTGATGGACATTTAGGCTCTTTCCATAATTTGGCTATTGTTGAGAGTGCTGCTATAAACATTGGGGTACAAGTGCCCCTATGCATCAGTACTCCTGTATCCCTTGGGTAAAGTCCTAGCAGTGCTGTTGCTGGGTCATACGGTAGGTCTATTTTTAATTTTCTGAGGAACCTCCACACTGTTTTCCAGAGTGGCTGCACCAATTTGCATTCCCACCAACAGTGCAAGAGGGTTCCCGTTTCTCCACATCCTCTCCAGCATCTATAGTCTCCTGATTTGTTCATTTTGGCCACTCTGACTGGTGTGAGGTGATATCTGAATGTGGTTTTGATTTGTATTTCCCTGATGAGGAACGACGCTGAGCATCTTTGCATGTGCCTGTTGGCCATCCAGATGTCTTCTTTAGAGAAGTGCCTATTCATGTTTTCTGCCCATTTCTTCACTGGGTTATTTGTTTTTCAGGTGTGGAGTTTGGTGAGCTCTTTATAGATTTTGGATACTAGCCCTTTGTCCGATATGTCATTTGCAAATATCTTTTCCCATTCCGTTGGTTGCCTTTTAGTTTTGTTGGTTGTTTCCTTTGCTGTGCAGAAGCTTTTTATCTTCATAAGGTCCCAGTAGTTCATTTTTGCTTTTAATTCCCATGCCTTTGGGGATGTGTCAAGTAAGAAATTGCTACGGCTGAGGTCAGAGAGGTCTTTTCCTGCTTTCTCCTCTAGGGTTTGGATGGTTTCCTGTCTCTCATTCAGGTCCTTTATCCATTTTGAGTTTATTTTTGTGAATGGTGTGAGAAAGTGGTCTAGTTTCAACCTTCTGCATGTTGCTATCCAGTTCTCCCAGCACCATTTGTTAAAGAGACTGTCTTTTTTCCATTGGATGTTCTTTCCTGCTTTGTCAAAGATGAGTTGGCCATACGTTTGTGGGACTAGTTCTGGGGTTTCTATTCTATTCCATTGGTCTATGTGTCTGTTTTTGTGCCAATGCCATGCTGTCTTGATGATAACAACTTTGTAGTAGAGGCTAAAGTCTGGGATTGTGATGCCTCCTGCTTTGGTCTTCTTCTTCAAAATTACTTTGGCTATTCGGGGCCTTTTGTGGTTCCATATGAATTTTAGGATTGCTTGTTCTAGTTTCGAGAAGAATGCTGGTGCAATTTTGATTGCGATTGCACTGAATGTGTAGATAGCTTTGGGTAGTATTGACATTTTGACAATATTTATTCTTCCAATCCATGAGCATGGAATGCTTTTCCATTTCTTTATATCTTCTTCAATTTCCTTCATAAGCTTTCTATAGTTTTCAGCATACAGATCTTTTACATCTTTGGTTAGATTTATTCCTAGGTATTTTATGCATCTTGGTGCAATTGTGAATGGGATCAGTTTCTTTATTTGTCTTTCTGTTGCTTCATTATTAGTGTATAAGAATGCAACTGATTTCTGTACATTGATTTTATATCCTGCAACTTTGCTAACTTCAAGTATCAGTTCTAGCAGACTTCTGGTGGAGGCTATTGGATTTTCCATGTATAGTATCA